TGAACATTGGGCACTATCTAATAAAATGAAATTCAATGGTGAGACAAGTAACAGGAGCTCACTCCATTACGTGGTGCTAGGGATTCAAACCGCCGAATTGCTGACCTTTCTGATTGACAAACTCAGTGTCTTAGCCACTGAGCCATCACTCAGCGTACAATATAGAAGCATTATTTGCATATTGCCCCAAACTATCTGGCTCCGCATTTTACCAACTTTGGAAGGATGGAAGGCTGAGTCAACCTTGAGCCTGGCCAAGATCGAACTCCAAACTGTAGGCAGTATTTGTCTGCACTTTACCCACTGCGCCACCAGGGCTCCAGCTATAATTACTATGACTCTGTTTTATTATTAAGTTTTTTTAGTTGAATAGGAAATAATGTTGTACGAAATTGTGTACTAAATCGTCACAGCACAACTAGTAAAAAGTAGCACAAATAACTAAGTTATTCCCAAAATGGTATCATTGATTACTTTGCTACCAATCTCCCAAGCCAATTTCTTTTTTTAAAAAAAATGTTCATTTTTTTTTAGAAAAACAAAGCTATAATTAGGCCGAGACATTAATCAAGAAACCATATGCAAAATGAACCATTCTTAATACAAAAATATATTTATAGCATCTTCAAATCAATTATTCACTCAGAGCTGATTATTACAAACAAATAAAACAGACCTCCTACTTCACTGTTACTGTGATTAAAATGACACATTTAGACTGGCTTGGCTCTTATATTAATATCAGCAAGCTGCATAATATTCTCTTCCTCCTATGTATGAACAAATTACCATAGTTCCCCCCCCCCTTTTTTAAAGAAGCAATCAATTTTAATTGAAAGCTCCATCTGTATAGAATATGCTTAGGCAGCATGGAAATTCTTGCTAATTTGCATGTTCTTGATGATGATTTGAACATAACATTAGTAAATTCAATGGGCAGAATCCTCAAAGAAAAACATATTGACGACAGTGCTACGTACTGGTTTCCTTTTAAGACTATTCAGTTGATTCAATACAATACAATAGCAGAGTTGCAAGGGACCTTGGAGGTCTTCTAGTCCAACCCCCTGCCTAGGCAGGAAACCCTATACCGTTTCAGACAAATGGCTATCCAACATCTTCTTAAAGACTTCCAGTGTTGGGGCATTCACAACTTCTGGAGGCAAACTGTTGGAAGCAAGGACTTACCAATGCTGCTTGTTTTTT